CAGACAGGAGATACCTTCCTTTGAGTTATTGGCCAGGATGGCCCAAAAGACTCCCAGACAGTAACCCAGCATATAACTGGGAAAATGAACAGCAGACGCCAATATTATCTAAAGGAATATTGACAACTGGTTGCTGCTAGATGAGGAACAGCTGACCTTCCTAAAACAAGGACCTCTAGATAGGCTGACTAGATTTACCAGATGGACAAGTAGTGGGGAATGGCTGGGGGTGCGGACAACACAGCAGACAGTAGCAGGGATAACAGATTATAAGGGCTCTAGTGGGGGGAGGGAGGCTATGGGAGGGTGCCATCTGGGAAGTGGGTGTATAGTTGAATAAGATGGTTTGGGATGTTCTGTGTGATATATACACACATAAAAAAACAACAAATTAAAAAAATGAATTATATTTGAGGAGGATGCATAAAAATTTATGTCATGTTAATTAGCAGAGGTGATAAACATTACCATTGAAATCTATCCGATGACTTTAAAGACACACACAGGTGCCAAGGATCCAAGTGCAACCAATTATGACTAGTAATAATCAGATACATACAGATTAGAGATGCATGTGCCAACATCTCAGTGTTATGGTCCATAGGCAAGAATCCTATATTAAACTTCACCCACCCAGGGCTTAGGGACCATTGCAGAAGAAGGGGCAGAAAGATTGTAAGAGGCAGAGCTTATACTGAGTTCAATATTGTGTAACTGTATTCATTGAACAGCAAACCTTTATAGTTTATAGCCACTTTTGAAAGAGATGTATCTTTGCTCTGGAAACTGTTATTGAGTATGTTAAAGCTGTAATGAAATGCTTCTTCTAAAAAAATAAAAATTAAATAAAAAACTGGAGATATAGTTTAATAGTTAAGAGTTCTGGTTGCTCTTAGAGAGGACCCAGATTCAGTTCCCAGCACCCACTGGGAACAACCAACTGTAACTCTAGTTCCAAGGGATCTGGTGCCCTCTTCTAGCTTCCACAGGCATTGCACACATGGGTGCAATTACATAAATGCAGGCAAAAGACATGTACACATAAAATAAAAATAAATCTTAAAAGGGGGGGAGAGGGGCAGGAAAAGCACTACCATTGTCTATGTTTTTCTGCAGTAATAAGGACTGAACCCAGGGGCTCTTGCATACTAGGCAAGTACTCCATCATTGGCCTGGATTTGCAACCCTAAGTACTACTGTTGTCTTTCCCTTACTTGGAAAGTTTATTTTAAAGAAACTTATGAGATCTCAAATGGATTTTTTATGCTTTTGCTATGATCCAAACTACGTCTGTAATGAGTTTGGTGTTTTTACAAGAAGATTCAGAAACAATTAAGCACAGATTTCTTTAACAGGCAAGTCCTTCAGCTTTATCACTGCTTTATAAAACATTACAACTTATCATTACTGACATCACTTAAAATCTTAAAGACGACAGATGATTTTTTTCTCCTCAGCTCTGAAATACAATGATTAGGTCAGGGAAATTTCTGTAATTCACACCACAAGTTAATTTTGGACTAAAATTCATCACATTAGAGAATATATATAATATGGGCCTTATTGAGCAGATAAAAAATTAATTGGTGGGCTACAGATACAACTCCATTGATAGAGTGCTTGCATAACATGCACCAAATACAGATCAGGAGTTATAGGTCATTGTTGTTTATAAAGCAAGTTAGGGCCTAACCTACATGAGACAGTCTAAAAATATTTATAGTAAGATATGGTGGCACATGCTTTTAATCCCAGTACTCAGAAGGCAGAGGCAGACAGAGCTCAGTGAGTTTGAGGCCATTCTGGTCTACAAAGTGAGTTCTAGGCCAGCCAGAGCTACATAGTGAGACCCATTCTGAAACATACACACACACACACACACACAAATTAAAAAGTATTTGTTCCCCCACAGACACAAACCTCCTTTCTTTCCCATTCTTGAATCTAAGACTTTCTCAATAGTTTCACTATTATCTTGCTGTTCATCAACTCCTTCTCCGGTCATTTCAATGAGGTCATCTGAATCAGTCTCAAAGTCATCATCTTCTTTGTAACTGCATGAGAAATAATGTAGAATGAGGAAGAAACCACAGCTTCAGAATTCAACATCTCAACACAGAGTATCAGTGGAAGAAGGAACCATACTCTTTGGTTCTAGGACTTAATTTTA